CAGCTCTTCCAGATGGAGGAAGACCTGCTCCATCTCTCCTTGTCCAGGTACTTTTCTCCCTGGCAGCCCCTGGCACTTACCTCCCTTTCTTCTCCCAACTTTCAGTGCTTCAGCCAGGCCCTTGCTCACTTTCTGTCCTCATACCCCTGTGCTGTGGGATTTCAGAAGCTGAGATACAAACTGTGTTTCCAGAAATCCTAAAATGGTGCCAACAGACCACAGGCTTGTGTTGCATCCACTTTATTTGCACACAGGAGTGGAAGGCACCCTCTCCCCAAACTCTCCTGCTACCAAAATAGTCCACGACAGCAGGATGCTTTATGTTTGGTTCTGTGGCTGAGCTGAAGGCTGATGCATTGACATAGGGTGCTGCTGAAAATGGACATGTTTGTTTTTTTCATAGTGAGTGACTTGACATTTCTGAGAAGCAGACTCCCAAATAGGAGGCAGAACAAGCTGGGCACGTGAGATGGGGGTTGTGTGATGAGCCAGAGCATCTGCTGCCTTGGAGGGGTCTGAACTGTCCTCCTGTTGCTTTCATCATGTCCTCGGGCATCTCATGGGGATTTGATGTCACCTGCATGCAAAGAAACATCTGGAAGGGTACAAATGTGAATCTGTGTTTGTACTGGCCCTGCAGAACTAAGCCAGCCACCTTCCAACGTCAGTTATAGCAGGAGGAGATTGAAATACAGTGTTAGAAACCAGAGTGGGGCCCTGTCCAGGAGTCTTGCCTGGAAATGGGTGTCTGTGGCAGGGTGGGGAATAGGCTAAAATCAGGGATGTTAGTCCACGCTTGTCTCTTGCAGCAGTGTGGTTTTATCTTCCTTTCCAGGTTGGCTTTAAGATATGGGAAAGCGTTGACTTTCTTCCCACAGGAGAGATTTGCTGAGGTCCTAAGTCGGTACAAATCAATCAAGCTCTAACTCACAAAGCACCCTATGGGGACACAACTTCGATAGGAACCTTCCCTCTGAAGTTTGATATAATTTCCTTTTCTTCCAGCCACATATTTGCTTCTCTCCATCAGGAAAATGAAAGCTGTGACAAAGCCTGGTGTACCCCAGGAGCTGGTTCCCACCTCCCTTGTCCCAGCCTTTGTTCCCTCCGTCAGAAAACCATGAGTCATCACCTCTTGGCTCCACCAGCCCTGTTATTTTTTTTCTCCTCCTCATCCCCTCCATCCCAGTTGGGGTGAAGAAGCGAGAAAGCAAATAGGAATAAATACCTCCAGCCATAAAAGTGAAATAAATCAATACTACTTCTCTGAAGCTAGAGATGCTTAATAGGCAAGGATCACTGCCAGATTGTAAAAAATGTGTTTAGTGTGCGGCTGGGGCAAGTTTAACCCTTGGACATAAACAGCTGAGCAGCTTCTCTCACCTCTGAATTAAATAACTTTAACTGCAGAGGGCTGTGATTAATAGAGGTGCTGCTGGTTGGGGTGCACCAGGTATTTTGTGCCTGTGGGTCATCTGGGCAGTTGCCTGGGAGGGAGAAGTCATTGCCAGGTCCCTTCTGCAGGCACAGTGATGGTTTTTTCATGGAGGGACGGCTCTGTTTGCAGGTAAGGGAGCTCCTGGGTGCTGGACTGGGCTGGTGAGACCTCAGCTGCCCATCCCAGGGATTAAGGACCTTTCCAGCTCTCCACCCTGCCTTTCTGTGCTGGGAATGCAGAGGACCAAAGCTGGGGTGAGGCAACCCTGTCTAAACAGAGTCGGTATCAGCCATGCTGGGGAATAGCTGGGGGAAATTTGTGCCCCAGGTGTCTGGGGCTTTCTCAGCATGCAGTTGAGAGTGCCCGAGTGTCACTGTGCTGAGGGAACGGGAAGAACTGCCCTGGAAAGATAATTTGTTTCACGGGGTGTATGTGAAATTTTTTCTGTTTTCTTTGCAGGGTCAGTCTCCTTCAAACCCTGGAGAGAGTTTGGTTATCCTGCCCAGCTCTCCAGCATGTGTTTCCTCTCTGCCTGGACAGCGGAGATGGAAGACAGAGTAAATCTTGTGCTTCAAAGCTGTGGTGAGAAAGGGCTGGGACTCCAGCCCCAATCTCTAGGATTTAATTTTTGTTTGTTTGTTTGTTTTGCTTCCAGGAGAGTCTATCCTGGGACCTTCATAACTTTCTGGTCAGTGTTTTCTCCAAAGAGTATGAGGCACCAGATGCAGCCAAGGTTGGAGTAACGGGGATTGTAGGAAGCCCCAGTGGGATGTTCCTGGGGGGCGGGGGGAAGCGTTAGCACTGCCGTCAGCTGGTTTGGTGAGGCCACATCAGGGATAGTGGGGATGCTCTGGACACTCCTTCTGAAGACCAAAGAAGTCAAATGGGAGCAGGGATAAAGGAGCCCACGGAGAAATTCAGAGGCGTGAAGATCCCATCACACTTCAAATTTGGCTTCCCAAAATCAAGGCTGAGAGGTGATGCGCTGCGTGTATATCAGAACAGAAATAGTTGGTAGGGAGAAGAACTATTTAGAGCAAGCAGGTGCTGGCACAAGGACAGCTAGTTATGGGCTGGCCATGATCTTGGGAGCCTGGTGACAAGCAGAAGGCTCCTGCATGTTAGATCAGAAAGGTGCTGGTCTCTTAGAGCGGTCATGGAGTAGGGAAGCACTGGGACTGGTTTAAAGTGAAACTGAGCAGGAGTGATTATTTGATGTAACTCGGCACTGCTCAGAGGCTGGATGCAGGGATGTGTGGTTTCTTGCTAGTCTTATTTATGATGGTCTGTGTGCCTTTTGTTGGGGCTAAGAGCTCAAAGATAGCCAAGATATTTCAGAAGAGGATTAGGGATAGTTTCCCACAAAGCCTTCCTGCACCTCTATAAGCTATTTGTTCTCCTGGCACACAGACTCAGTTGTGTGCTGTCTGGCACACAAATGTTTTCCTGAACTACGGCAGAAGCCTTTTGCTGAGGAGAGCCATGTGATGAGTGTTAACTTTGTATTTAGGAGCTGGGGGTATCTGGCAGAGCTCTTAGGAAGCCAGCTGGTTTCTCTGCAAAAGCAAGGCAGGCTGTACTGGGAAAGGTGATCCTGGAAACACTTGTATTTGTTTTGATTTTTCCTTATGCGTAGAGGAAATTACATCTCTTGCTAACATACCTGTGTCAAGCAGAGCTTATGGGAGTTGCTAAAGTAGCAATGGAAAAGGCTGTTCTGAACAGATTTTGCTCTCTTCCCATGGAGAGAGTATTGACCTTGATCAGGACAGGACGAACAGGTTAAGGTCTTGGTTGTCATAAAATGGGCAGGATTTATCCCATCTCTTGTGCCAGGCGTTCTTTACGGGCAGGAGGGAAGAGCCTGGGTCTTAGGCTAAAAAAAAAAGAGCTCTTACTGACTCTTCGTACCTTGCCTCTTACCTTGCTCTGCTGTCTGTCAGGCAGCTCCGACTCCTCTCTGCCAGAAGCCAGGCTTTCCAGCTTGGAGCTGAAAGTCCTTGTAGTTAGAGCAGTTAGAGTCCCTGGTAGTTCTCCAGCCCTAAATCAACTTCTTGGTCTCAGTCTCTCAATCCCCTCAGACAGGTTCTAAGGGTGGACAATGTTGCCTGACCGAAGTCTGTAAGAGCCTACTGTCTCTAAGACCTCCGTTTTTCGGATGAGGGGTTGTCCTGTGGACATCAAACATCTGTGCAGTTTTGCGGGCGTCATTCCTTCCTTGCGCCCTCCTCCACGTCCAAATGTGGGAGAAAACACTCTTGGTGGTGCCTGGGGGAGCTGTCTGTGAAAGTCAGGCCACGGAAGAGCTGGTGAATTGCTTTTCTGCCCAAGGCAATGAAAGAGCTCCCGGTAGGGTAATCAATCTCCCTGAGAGCTCCCCCAGCTGAAGGCGATCGCCTTGACTTTATGGAGTGTGTTAGTTTGTCCCCTGTAATGGCCACGAGTCCCCCTCCCAGCCAGCAGCACGCAGCAGCTCACCTGTGGGATGGAGAGCTTATGTGTGTGTGTGTGTGTGTGTTTAAAGGTAGTAAAATGCTTTGTGGAAGAAAGCTCCGGCCATTACACGTGCCAACAGGAATGCTCCCAGCGCTTCAGCTTCCTTGGCATAAAATCACAGCGGCGGGTAAATCCTGGAGAAACAAAGTGAACCCAATTGAATTAGCCCAGGACCGTGTGCAGGAGGTGGGGAATGTTTTCGTGGTGTTTCATCCTCTCTTGCGGGTACCAAATGATTGCGGGAAGTTTTTCAGCTTGCCACGGTTCAAACCAGCAAGGGGTCCCTGTTGATTAGTCCTAATGAGGGAGAGAGGCCAGCTCTTTGCTGGTCTAGCAGTACTCTTGTGTATGGCGAGAAAAGGCACTGACTTTTTTTTTTTTTTTTTTTTTTACTGGGGGGAGTGCCCTTTAGCTTCCTCCCCAGACTTTCTGATGCTGTGTCTGAAGGCGTGTAGAGCGTGGGGGAAGGATGCTCAGCTGGCGTAGGGCTGGGTAGGCTCTGGCTTGACAGCTCCCCCGGGGGCAGGAGCCATCACCAGGACTGGGATTTCTCCAGGGGCTGGGAAGTAGCTGCCAGGCAGGATCTGGGATGGGGGAAGGGCAAGACTTAGTTTCTTTCAGCATCTGAGGGTGGATTAAGTGGAGCGTTCCTTGTTAGCTAATTGAAACAGTCAAAATGTCAAATGAGGCATTTCAATAATAGTGATGTAAGGAGCTTTACGTTTTTATTTCTTTCTCTCTCTCTTTTGTATTGCGCCTTCAAGACATGGGGACCGAAGTCCCTGCCTCGACAGAAACCCTCTTAAAGAGGGGCTTCAGGGGGGGATGGGGCAACGACAGAAGCCGTTTTAATCCCCTCCAATTCCAACATTATTGTGTTTCAGCAAATATTTTGCAAAAGGATTTTCAGGCTGAACTTCAAACAGGCAAATGCCTCACTCCAGTGACTCGGGGAGCTTTGCAAATTTAGAAAAGAAAATGAAGATTGTTTTAGCTGACATTTAAACCTCTTCTATTCTCTTTTCCCAGCCTGTCAGGAAGCTTCATACACTTCAGGTCAGACGTCCTTTCCCTGAAGAAGAGGAGGATATTTATAGCCAGGTAGGACTGTAACAGGGAAATCTCCAGGCTGCAGTACCTGTCAGATGAGGTTACTTACGGCCCCAATAGTAACAGCCAACCTGGAACTCAGTACAGGGAAGCAAAAAGGTGATGCTCCAGCCCTGAGCCACACAGGGGGATCTAGCCCAGGTAATTTGGCCTAATTCCTTGAGGGTGAAGGTCAGTTTGGCTGGAGCATGGTACTTTCTGGGCAAATGTTTCCCCTGTGGCTTGCTGTGCTTTGTTGCCTTTCTGCATCTTGGGGAGTGCTGATACAGAGAGATCTTGAAGTGTGGTCTGGATCCTTCCTGTCCCTGGGGGAGGTAGGGAAGGGGTTAACTGGACATGCCAAACCCAAAATAAAATAGTTTATCACACAGAGGGGCTGTGGCTTGCTTGCCCTGGGTGGTTAGGAGCCACTGAGGAGCATCTGGCTGCAGGTCTTGGTTCCTCCTTGCTCCCTCTTAGGCAGGGCTGAAGCCAGGCCAGCAACACAGCAATGAGCAGCTGTCTGGGCTGTGGTTGGAGCAGTTTACTCCCGGGGATTAGAGTGATTGGGATTTCTTAAGGTAAAGGCAGCTTGTAAAGAAAAAGCAGTTGGTCTGGGGACAGCAGAGCTCCGCCACAACCTGCTCTTACCCACGACTTGTTCTACACAAGGAGTTTTTGTTTGCACATCACTTCTGATCCGCCACCGGTCTGGAAGGAGGGGAAGGGGGTGGGCAGCTCTGCTGCAGCCTGTGGGGGGCTCACCGTGGCGGGTTGGGGTTGTCTTGCGTGGCTGGTGGGCCTGTGCAGGAGGTTTTGGCATAAGCATTTCTGCAGCCCGAGCCCTGGGGCTTGCTCTGAGGCCCCAGATAGGACACTGAGGACGTTCTGATGGAGCACAAGGTGGCTGGAAGCTGAATGAAGGTTGGTGTTAGGCTAATGTAGTCCCGGGACTGTTATTTCTGCGTGGTGTTGGCTCGTTGGACTGTAGTGTGGAAATCTCTGATGAGCTTAAACTGGACCTGGGAGCATCTCCCATAGCGTAGGTCCATGCCTTCTCATTTTGGCTGGCATGGGCTGATCTCTTTCTCTGTTTTCCCATGTCTCCCGAGATTTTAAAGGAAAGAAATCCAAGTGCAGTGCCTGGAGAGGGAGCTGTGATGTGGTCTGGCCGAGAGTCCTGCTTTAGCTGTAAGGGATCTCCGTGGAATGGGGGTACCACGCAGTGTGGGGTGCTGCAGGCACACCTCTCTTGTAAGAAAACCTCCTGGGGTGAAGGCATAACAAAACCCCTCTCACAGACCACGTCTCATGGAGGTGAGACTCAGAGAGATCTTCCCTGGCGATCACAGGTGACTCTTGGCTGCTGTTGCTCCCCTGGGCTGTGTAGAAGTGGGAGAGCCCAGGGCGCTGTGCAGGATGATGTTCTGGGGGACACCAGGCTTGCTCTGGCCGCGCCGCTGGCTCTGCTCCCGTGTCCCTCCCAATACCAGCCCCAGCAGTGCAGGCCTAGACCCGAGCTGCCCAGGTTTTCACGATCCCCAGAAAGGAAAACAACAAATCTTGTACGCGGCGAGCTCTCCATCATGGTTTTCCTGCCATCTGCCCACCCTGGTGGATGTTAACAAGCTAGTAGATCTAAACCTGCTGTGCCTTGATAGAAAGATTTATTTTTAGGACCTTGATATTTAAAATGATCTGTTATAATTTCATGCTTAAATAACATTAAATAATGTTCCCTGTTTGCACAGTGTAATTGGAAGAGGCGAATAAACCAAACAAACCAGCTATGACTGAGCTTCCTTAGTATTTTCAAACTGAAACAAACAGTAAAAACAAGGGCTTGGCCAATTTAACACTTTGGGGGTATTTTCTAGTTTGCATTCCACTTTTTCATTTTCACAGGCCAAGAAACACAAGAGCTTTAAAGAGCCGGTGGCTTCTTGCCAAAGAATACTCAGCTGGTCTTAGATTGAAAAGAAAGGAAAAAAAAAAAAAAAAAAGAACAAGAAAAAAAACTTAAAAGTGAACTTATTGTTCGTTTTTTAGGAACTGGCAGGGCTAATGACTCTGGAAGTGCCATGGGATTTTATGCGAGTGCAGAAAAGACTTGGAAAATATTCAGCGAGTTCATTTAGGCTCCTTTCATGCTTCTCAAATCCTGAGGTGGCTTTATTGCTGCTTTATGTCAATTTGACACTGCTTGATTTCACTGTTGCTCTCGATTTTACTGTGATGGCATCGCTGTGCTCGATGCAGAGCGGGTCCCGCACTGGTCACATCTGTAAGGTCCCAGGTAATCTGCGTGGGCTTTCAGGTGGTTGAATTAAAGCTTCCAGATTCAGATGTGACCCTGTTTGGGGATAGGAAGTTCAGGCCAAGCTGATGTTATCTATGTGCAGAGCCACGGGAGTATCGTTTAAGTGAAGAGATTTTGTGATTAGTCATGAATGTGTTGTGTTCCCTTCTGGAAAACTGCCATCGGAGAGGGAATAGAGCCCAGGCTTTTTGGAGCTGCTGCACGTCAGCTCATCAGTGCGTCTTTAGCTGGGAGAATCCCTCCTGTTGGAAGGGTGAGAGTAACTTTTCCCTCCGTGTCCCCGTGCTTAGGTGGCCCGTGGGGCAATATTCCTGCAGGTTCAGGCTGTGACAGCAATGGTGCCGAGACCCCCCCCCGGCAGCCCTGCGTCCTGCTCTCGGTTCTTCCCTTCCCCTCCAGGGCCCTGTCCTCCCTCCCTCCCGCCTGTCCTGGGGGGAGCTGGCTTCCCCCCCAGTGCCTCCCCTCCTTCCAGGGAGGCAAAGTCCTCCTCCGTCTTCCCCTCCCTCTGCTCCCCCCACCCGTCCGCTCCGCACAAGCCTCGGCTCTGTTTGTGCCCACATTAGCATTTCTGCTGACTGCAAGGATTGGTTTAATTTCATGGGTGTCATTTCCTTCAAGAAATCTCTCTCTGAGCAGCAGCCCGACGAATGCTTGATAAAACATACTTTCCTACGGTAATGATTTTATGGACCCATAAGTCATGAATTTATTATGATCTCAGCCCCTGCTGCTGATTGCTGTAAAATGCAAAGTAATTAACAGCAAGCGGTAGCAGCTATTCCCACCTGGTAGCGTGTTCTTGGGTACGCTGATGGGTTTGATTAAAGTAATGGCTAAAGTGTACAGCCCGGCTGTAAAATATTAGCATGATTAATGCAGTATCCTAAATAAGAAACAAAACTAATGGGCATGGTTTAAGGAATTAAATATATATATATATATTCCTCTCCCTCCCTCTAGCTATTGTTCTGGCTCATTTATGCTTTCTTTTCTATTAAATAATGTATGGGCTTGAGGGCCAGGGGGCAGGCTAGAGATGCATATTGCAGTTTCATAACATCTTAAGTGCTTGTGTTAATTTTTCACTCCTCCCTTCTCTTTCTCCTCAACCTGCCATCTCCTGTCGGATAGGGGGAGAAAGATAACCAAGTTTCCTGAACTTGGCCTGAAGTCAGATGTGATTTGATTTGGATTGCAGACAGCCCGGGGAAGTGACTCGGAGACAACTTGGAGAGGTGGACTCGGTTTCTGGCCTCCCAGAAGAGAAACCCTGACGCTGTGTTCGCGTTCCCATGGCTGGGGGTGATCTCCGGTCTGTCTCAGCAGCCCAGAGCCTCTAAGTTTTTTCACACATGAAGAATAACCACGCCTGTCCAGAAGCTGCAGGGCTTCTGCTGAGAAAAGAATGCATTTTCTTTTCTTTTTCTGAACAGCTTAAAAAAAGCAGTGGCTGGATTTGAGTGAAAAATTAGCGAAAATAAGACTCGAGATAAAGTAACCTATGTCAGATTTCTCCCCGCTTTCCCTCCCAGAACCATGATAAATTTAATTTCTGGCATTTTTCAGTGGGAAAGATCAGAAATTGCTTGGGTTCAGAGATGAGAAAAAAAATATAAAATAGAGATTTTTTTTTTTTTTTTTTTCCTGTCAAACACCTAGAAAAATTTATTTGGAAATGGAGAAAATACCTGATTGCAAAAAAAAAAAAAAGACTTTTTTTGGCCTACACGTTTTGATCAGCTCTTCTTTTCCGATTTCTAAAGATGTGTACACCAATGTCATCTAATTCCCTGTGATGTGCCTCTAACTTTTCAGGTGTATTGATCTGCTCTAGTTTATGAAGCTACTGACTATTGAAAAGAAGAGTTTATAAATAACTACAGAGAAACAGGCTTCCATATTACAGGAGTTCCAGCTGTGCTGTTTTTGTTTATCACACAACACACTTTTTTGGAACTTTTCTTAACCAGGAGATTGCAAAAGGATGCTCAGTGTGCCGATGTCACCGGGAACTGTTGTGTTGTATTGTACTCTGTGTGTTTTCCCTCTTGGGAGGGAGAGGTTTCTGGGCTTCTTTTTGTAGACAAGATATAAACTCGGTAGTGGTTCTGCTAGTAAATACAAGTAGCCCTAAGCTCCAGAATATGTCTTGTTGGTCCCTCCAGTAATTTGACAAAGTATCCTTCCAGCAACCTTCTGAAATGACAACATGAACAAGCTTGTTGATCCTTTGGTATCTGCAATAGTCATGGCAAGGGGATGCTGCTGGGCTCCGTCGATAACTCTGCATGGCAGCCAGCTCTCTGCCAACATCGGCGTGGGTTTTAGATGTCTTGCCCCTGCTCAGTGGGGGTCAAACCAGGAATTAGACGTGTTACTGGGAGGGCGAGAATTAAGTTCTCTCTCTAAAATTGCCACCGTTGGAGTTGTGACTGCCTTCTCTTGGGAAAGATATAGGAAACCTCAAAAAGATTCAGACCGTGACCAAAGGTATAGGGGAGCTCCCATGCAAGGAGAGATTAAGCAGGTTGAGATGTGTCGGCTGAGTAAAGCGGCGTCTGGGAGAGGGGTATGATCAAGCCACGTACAGTCTGGAGTGGGGTAGAAGAGGTTGCACAGATGATAGTTTGCAGCACCTTGTGATTCAAGTTCTGAGGGTTACCCGGTGAACTCATTAAGCAGAAGGTTTAAAGAAAATGAAGGGAAGTCCATTTTTCTGAAGTGCATAATTACATCTCTATTTCATCACCACGTGCTGCTGTGGAGTCCAAAAGAGGTAGAATAAATGTGAAGCGGGACTAGATCGTCATGGAAGGCAGATCCCCGGGGATGCCGAACATAACCGGAGGGTTTGCAGCAAGCAGAGGGCCATAGATATCCCATCACTCATTTGCTTCCTCCCTCCTCCCCTTGGCAAGACCGTGTCCGTGTTCTTACACCTGCTGTGTCCTCTTGTCTGGAAACAGGGGCTCAGGGGCTGAGCGCTTGGAGGATGTAGCTGCTGTGGTTCGACTGACAGCACTCTCTTTCCTCAGGGATGGGTCTTCCCAGAGTCTTCTCCCCCGCTGTGAGACCTTGTGTACTGGATGAGGAAGCACAGGGCAGGTGATGAAGGAAGGGCGATGATGCTGGGCTATGTCGTGGTTCTCACCAGAAGCATCTGGGCTCGGAGAGGTGGAGGACACCCCAAGCCCACGAGGCTGAGACCTGGCGGCGGACTCGAGAGGTAAGAGCCAAACGTGTGAATCTCATCCCAGCTCGTGACAGTGCCACAGCAAGCACTGGCGTGTGGGGATGGCGTGTGATGGCTGGGCAGGGGAAGGCAGAGCCTTTTCCTCTCTCGTTTAGGTACTGTTTGAGTCGGCTGCCGCAGTCAGGCAGCGTGGCTGCGGGGTCAGATTTGGAAGGCTTTCTCAGCAGTGCACCTATGTTAATGATGTTTGAGGAGTAGTTTCTGTGGGAGACCTGGGAGCCAGGCAGCTCTGCAAATCAGCCCATTAGTATTTTTAAAAGAAAACCTCCATCCTGTAGGAACTGCTTCGGCCTCTGGAGACGTGCCAGAACTGTATCCCAGACTGCACCGCATCTGCTTCGCCTATTAGATCTTTCCCTCTCTCCTTTTATCCACCCCTTTTCCTTCCCTCCTGGCTAAAGCTTTCTATTGCTATTCTATCCAGAACACTCTTCAGCTATTGCCTTCTGTGCTTCTCTTTCCTGGAAGTTTGCACAAGGATAGGTTGGCTTTTCCTTTTATTTTTTTGTTTTGTTTTTTTTTGTTTTGTTTTGTTTTGGTTTTTTTTGCTCCTTTTGGAGCTAATCACCCTGGTGAAATTGAGCTGTAATGCAGTTGGCAGTGGTCAGATTGAGCTGAATGTGTGTGCTCCAGCACATACCCAGATTCTTGCATCAATAAAAATGAACAGAGACAGCCGCAAAGCGAAAGAGATATCGCATGGCCTTGTTTAAAACACACTCCCGCAAAAGCGTGAGCAACCTGAACAAAAGCTGCCCGTCTCCTCTTTTGAGATGGGTGAAAGAAGAAGTTATTGGGCTTGATGTGCACAGCGAGAGGGGGAGACCGCGTTTCCCCACCTCCTCCCCCTGCCATCCGCAGCCGTGCGGCAGGTAGAGGAGATTGCGTTTCGTGGGGAGGATTTATAGCTATCGTGAGTCAGTCAGAGTGTCAGGGTAAATCAAGCCTGACGTTTTTAACATCTTCCCCACACAAAGGGGGGGGCCAAGGGGAACGGAGGAAGCAATTGTAATTTTATGTCTATATCCTGCTCAACTAATCAAGGTAAGCAAGAGGCATGCCAGCCGGAGGAGATTTCCCTCTTGTTAGCTTGATTGTTTCTTTGCTTTGGCTTTTCTCTTCCTTTCCTGGACTGCCATAGCAGTCTCCTCTGTGGGGAAAGAAAGAGCCAGCTGATCAGTGCTAGAGGCTTGTGGACAAATGGTTCTTGCTCTTCCGAACTGTCTCTTGTAGTATGTCTCTAATCAGGTAATTGAAAACTCATTGGAAAACCACATTCTAGCAGAGGTTTGACTACCTTTGGCCCTGTCTTCTCACTCCTATTCGGAGCCCAAACCTACTGCTAGCCCTGAGATGGCACTGCTGAGGTGTACCATATTCTCTCATGGTCCCCTCCTACCCCTCTCAGGAGCACCTCGCTCAGGTTGGACAGGCCTACAGGTGAGCTATGGAGTGAAGGAATATCTGCATCGTGAGGGGAAGTTAATTCGAGGAGATTTCCAGCAGCAGCATGGCTTAGGAGTTGTGCTTGGTATGCCTCTTGTCTTGCCTCAGGCACGTGCTGCTGCAAAGCCTCCCTGTGCCTTTCACCTTGCTGCCAGCGCAGGCTGCCTCCTCTTCTCCCAGGGGGGCTAATTCCCTCTGGTGAGGAAGGAGAGGCAGGGAGGCAAAATAAATACATAAATAGGTGCCCGTTCCTCACCCTTCCTACCCCACAGTCCGGAGTATTGGTGTAAGATATTGAGAGCATCTTGGTTTGAATGCTGGGATTAGCAGGGTGCTCTACCTTTTGCTGCAAGTGAAGATCCAGTAGGCTGGGATACCTCGTGGCAGTGGAAAGGCTTGTGCCCCAGGGGAAGGACCCTGGCAGCTTCAGTGCTGTCTTCCAGCCCGTGGCACGGGGTGTCAGGAAGGGGAATGGGGCAGAGCACCCACGGTCCTGAGCTGGAGCTGTTGAGCAGCGTTCAAAGCTGCACTCTGGGCCCGTGTGCCGCCAACGCAGGGCAGCGTCATTAAAATTCCTTGTGTGCACAGAAGTGGGCTAAGTCATCAGCAGAGGGCAGGGAGCCTCTGAGATCCGTGGGCTCGTGCTGATTTACACCAACTGGAGAACTGGGCCAAATCTGTCTCATTCAGTGAATGATCATTCAATTTTTCTCTCTGCTATCAAGCCCTTAAACAAAAGCCAATTGAAATCAATGGGAGACTTTAATCATTTTCAGGGTTATAGGCCTAAAAAATTGGATGCTCGGGGAAAAAGCAGGCAGGGGAAGAAAAAGGGAAGAAGGAATAAACGCTGCTGTAACGTTCTGGCTTACAACGTAAACAGATGTGGGTGAGAAATGCTTTAGTTACGATTCTCCAGCAGCCACAATTCAGTAAAGCTGGACATGGAAATGTATACTTTGAAGGAGCATCCGTCATTATATAAACTGCTCTGTGGGTGCAAAGGGAGCCCATCCCTCTGTGAATCCTTTCTCTGCGTGTCCTATTTCTTTCTATATGTGATTAAGTTCTCTGCTCTTCCATTGCAGTTAAGGTTCTTTATTAGCGGTAAGCACATGCTCTGCGGGATGGCTGTTACGCACAGAAATGCAGGAAGAAGCGCTGCCTTCTGCTCCCAGAAACCAGCAGGATTTTTTTGCAATAGCTGGAAGAGGGGGGAGTTTAATATCTCATCCAGCCTCTGGCTGTATTTTGATAAAATCCTTTGTCCAATGACTGCAAAGTATTTTGCAAGTACGGCAGGGTAAATCCCCTTCAGACAGGTATTATCTGGCCTATTTTTACAGCTGAGCATTTGCAGCCTTCAGAGCCATCTAGGTGATGTCTTCACCTTGTGATCTTCTCGGCTGAATGAATATGTCAGGATCAGCCCTTTCAAATCCAGCCCCAGTTCGAACACAGCCCTCCAGTACGTCTGGGTAGTTAGATCTTTCCTACCTCAGCCTCCCCATCCGTATAACAGGTATGACAATCATCCTTTCCCCGGGGTAAACATTTCATTATGCGATGCTGCTGAAATACCTCGGAGGGGAGAAGACCTACAGATAAGTCTGCATTCTCATTTTGGCTATATTTGTGTGCGTGTTTTCTGCTTTAACTGCCGTTCTCTTGCTTTGCCTGCTCATTAGTTCTGCCTGAGTGCAGGACCTCTCCAAAAAACGCAGCATTGGCAGTGGGCATGAATTCTTAACGACTCCTGTCTCTAATGACAGAATCCGGGGCCAGGCAGTCAGTTTGCTTGCCGAGGGAAGGAGAGGCAGGCTAGACTGTAGCTCGCTGCTGCTTTCTCTCGTGGTGGGGTGAGTTTGCAAAATCACTGGAATATCTGCAAAATATGCTCAGGTGTTGGCCTGCTTCTCCTCCTGCAAGGAGAATTGCTTGGGTTGACAGATGGAAAGAGATGCCTCTCAGTCTGTGGAAGGTGTGGAATTAGTTTTTAAAGCTCACTCTGGCCTCTCTCTGCTGTTCTACCCAAGAGATCAACAACAGATTTTGGCTTTTGAGCCAAAGCTGGAAATCCTGAGCCTGACTTGCCCCCTGCCCTGTTGTCCTGTCCAATTTAATCCAGAGGGAAAATATTAAACTGGCAAAAAAACCCCAAACAAAACAACACAACGATCTATTTAAAGAAAAAAATGCTGAGGGTTCCATTGTACCAAGCAGGAGAAGGACTTCTCTTAATGAGAAACTTAAAGCTTATTTTCAGTAATGTTTTTGTCGTCTTTCGTTTCTATTCTGTAGTTGTATTCAAGGATTCCTAGACTTTTTGCAAAGGCAGTTTTTAACATAAGTTAGCTTTTCCTTTCATAGACTCTTCATATTTAGTTTAAAAAAGAAGTCTTGAGGAGTTAGAATATGTGGGGAGGGAAGGGCAGGTGAATCCTGCCTGCATGCCATTCTTTCTGTTTCATTTAATGGCAGGAGTAAGAAGAAAGAGAGAATTCAAAATCTTGACAGTTCTTTGACTTTTGACTCTTAAAAACCAAACTAGAGAAAATAGAGAAAATTTTAAGTGGTGGTGGTGGTGAAATCCTGATTTTTTATTTTGGTGGATTCCTGCTGAAATGTCATTTGGTGGAATTGTCTTGTTTCTGAGGAAATCTCAGTATGCACTGAGAAAATTTCAAGTTGAATCTGGGCTGTCCACTCACTTTTAGAGCTCTGGCTATTTCTTTCTGCTCGTCTTTGCTTCTCCTTTCCACCTCCATCCTTGCTGATGCCCTTTTTCCACTCCTAATCCCGTTCCAGTAAAACTGCCACCACCAAGACAGTTAAAATGGCCGTGAGGCATTTCCCTCCTGCATGGACTAGTTGGGGTTGAGATCCCCAGAGCTGTTGTCTCGGGCTGAGTTGTCTCCATTTCACGCATTGTTGCTGGAAAGTTTTCATTGTTCGGCTCAGGGTACCTCCCCCCACTTCTGATAGAAGATTCTGAAAGGCAGATTCTGGCACTGGGGTGTTCCATGTGGCCCATGGAGGTCGGTCAGGTAGGCTGCATCTCTACCCGCGGTGACTGGAGAGTCATTCTGGTTTTGCAATAGGTTGAAATTCAGCTTCCTTGCTAGCTTTCTGTTCACTGTAGCTCAGATCAGTTAAATAAGTAGATAAATAAAAGTGTTGGAAGCCATTTGGGGAATCTTTGGAACCACAGGCTGATCTTTGATTTGGAGAAAAGGGAAGAGAAAGCCGGGTGGTATGTCTTGGCCAGGCGTGTACACTTTGGGCTTTGCTTTCTGTCTCAGTCCCTTCTGTGTCCATGGGCCCCAGGGAAATGAACTGGTGTTCAGCCTAGTTCTGGTAAATAGGTGCATGGTGGTCTTGGCAGAGCAGTCTGACAATCAGAAGGTCTCTGGAGTCTGTAGCTTTCTTCAGAGCTCTGGGGGAGCTTCTTCTACGTGAAGCGTGTGACACAGCCTCGGAGATGTGGCCTGCCCATCCCTGGACCCGGAACAGTCTGCAGAAACGTG